AAAAAAACTGCAAAATTTATAAAACAGTATTTATTAGCAATTTTAATGTGGTTATTAATGTTATAAAGAGGGATAATCCCCTCGATTCCAAATCATTGAGGCTAATTTCTAGCCATGGAATAATGGCGCGGTTATTAATGTTGCATACAAACAAACAATTCTATTCACAAACTTTATATTTTCTGTTAAACCTGTTTTCTAAACACACAAACAAAATGGAAAGTTGACGGAGAAAAAACAATCTTTTAAGAATATGAATGTTTTGACATCATAAATAAATAATAAATATTTTCCTTTTGTGTGTAAACAAACATAACCCTTTTCACTATATTTAATTGGAAAACTCAATTTAATATTTACTTACCTTTTTGCCAAAACTTCCAATATTTTTCTCATACTTACTACAAATACATAATATAATCAAGAAAAACGTCATGCTAAACAAACGTGAGTCGTGAATTTCAGTGTGGAAAAGTTAGTAAAAAATTTAAAGACACTAGATTTTACATAGTGAAAAAACTTGTAACAAACGTAACAAACTTAAAGTTACTTCCTTTTCCTCACCCCGTTCTTCGTGTGTCTGGACAAGCTCTATCCCCTTCTTGTTGCGTATCTGGCAATGCTAGTTGCACAGCCATGGTTTGAGCAGCCTGATCCAATTTAACTATTCATGCGAATTTATCCGTCTGGAGCAGTTTGAGCCCTATAAATTTTTATCGAATATACACGTCTGGAGCAGTGAAAGGGTTAAATCTGCTCATCCCTATTTGCAATCTTGGGAATTTTAATTTTGAAAAATTAACCTCAATCCAACCCACAATGTGATCCAACTATATAATCCAACCCCAACCGTCAACAGGTATGTTCCAACATGAGTCAGGAATTGGTTCCGAACTGTTTGAAATGTGCATCCAACTAATTCTTGCGATATATTCAGTGAAGACACATTTAGAACTTAGCTGGCCAAACATTTCAAACGGTTGGGAACCAATCCCTGACTCTTGTTGGAACAGACCTAACGTCAACTTGTGAACCTGACGTCAAATCGTCAAATGAAATGTCATGTCAGTTGTCACTTGCAAGTTTTACTAGTTTTATTTTTGTTTGGAAAAGTTGCGGGGAATGGAAATATGTACATGAATATATGTAGTGTAATTTGAAAGTATTAAAATGAGCACTTACGAAATTAGTAAATCATCAGTATGTATATTTTTTAATGTTACTTAAATATTTATTTACTTAGACAATGCATTTTACAGTTACTGAGTTTGAAAGCAGAAATTATTCGAAAACAACAAGAACTTATCAAGACGAAGGCTGATAATGAAGTGAAAATTAAAACCATTAAAAAAAATGCTCCATTGGAAATTAAAAATAAGGGCATCGAAGCCCGACAAAAGAATGATATTACGGAAGAAGAAGAGGATTTGTTAAAGCAATCAAAGTATGTTTTTAAATTAAACTCAAATAAATTTGTAATTAACTACCAATTACTACTTTTTTATCAGGTCAATTCTAGAAGCCAAATCAAAGCTATATGATAAACTGTCATCAGGAAAATTGACAGAAGAAGAAAAAGAACACAACAAACGGTTTTTGGTTCGATTTGATAAGAAAAATAATTATGTGAGCCAAAATACTGCACCTATTGACTTTGAAGATTCAGAGCCAGAAAGATATCCAGAAAGTGATGATGAAGATCGTTACCATTCAGACGAAGATGAAGTTAGCAAACACCCTGGAGAAAAATGGTATACTTTTTAATACAAGGTGCAAGATTTCATCCTAATTTTATATTCTTATTTATATTGTAGGGTGGATTATACCGATTGCTTGGGAAGAACAAGAAAGTGTCTTCAAAAAGATCTAGTGCATTTAAAATCTAAAGATGAAGAATTAAAAAAGACTATTGAAGCAAAAAATAAGAAACAGACCTCAAGTGAAGAAAAGTTTGAAGAAGATATTAAAACAAAAGATGAGGACATAGACAAAAAGCTACATGAAGATACGAGTGATAAACCACAAGAATCTGAGCTATTATCGAACGATATGAGAAGGGAATTATTAAGGCAACAATGGGAAAAGGAAGAAGAGGATCTGAGGAATAAATCAAATATCCATTATCAGGACATTTTGTTCGGCGGTAGGATAACTTTGAAATACTTCATCGATAGAAATTGACTAATTCTTTTTAGAGGCCAGAACACATGGCGTTGGTTATTACGGTTTCTCCAAAGACGAAGAGGAGCGAGCAAAGCAGCAACAAGACTTAAAGAAATTGAGGGATGAGACAGAAGCGAAGCAAAAGAGGGCTCAAGAGCTTAAAGCTGTTCGAGAAAAACAACTGGCAGCTAGAATAAAAGCTGCAAAAGATAGAAGAAGAACTAGATTAGGACTGCCTCCCGAAGAAGGTAACGTATATTTAACCAGAGGGGGTAACCACACTACCAAAAAAATGTACATATATTGCGGAAATCTCATGATTAGCAGGGATTGCTCCACGACGATTGTTTTAAAATGATTATTTTAAATGGAAGCTCAAAATTTGTTTAATTTTTAAGTTCAATATAAATTTCTGTTCACATTATTAGGACTGTGAATTAATTTTGAGGGATTTTTTTGTAAATTCAAGGCTTTATTGTGAAAAATTTACATTTGAGTGAATAAATTTTTATTTTGTTGCTTGCTGTTGTTGAATACAATGAACGGTTTGTCACCTGATACATTTAATAGTATTTAGTTTATATATTAATAATTATCCAGGCAGTATTTTTGGCACGAAAACTAGGTATTGACTATTGCATTACCCGCTGTCAGTAAATAATATTATTGCGGAAAACTGCGGGACTGCGGGTGGTTTGCTGTCAAAACTGCAAGATCTTGCGTGATTGTAGTGATTGCAAAGGATTGCAAACGATATGTACATTTATTCCTGAGCTTGGTTACCCTTTTGATTATTAATTAATTATTAATTGAAATTTTAGACCCAGCACCGAATGTTCCACAACCAGAGGAACCGGATGAGGACAAGAAAAAACAGGAGGAATTGAAAAGGCAAGAAGAAGAAAAAGAAAGATTATTAGAGGAAGCACGACAGAAACACATCCGACCTTGGGATATAGGCAAGGAAGGGGTAAAGAAACATTATGAGATGACACAAGAGGAATGGGTGGACAAGAAAAGAGACGAGAGACCAAAAGAATTCGCTCCACCGCAAGCTTATAACAAAAGGGATTTTAGAAGTAGCGTCAAAGCATCTAATTCTGAGGACACGGACAAATCTCTAAAGTTTACTACCAAGAAATCAAGGAATAGAAATAAAAATAAAAGAAAGATGCATACAACCGATACCTCTCATGAAAAGGGGATCGCTTCCATTGTTGAAGAAGACGTCCATCAAAGTGTTGCTACTGAACCAACACCCATAGAAGATTTGTGTACAGATATAGACTTTGACGATCGACTTCTAGCGGAATATAGTAAAGCAATGCATGATATCGGAGTGGCAGATACAAATGGTACGAGTGAAAGAAAGGGAGCAGAGATTGCTCCACCACCTACATATGAATATTACGGACCGAGCGGCACTAAGAGGCCTAAATCAGCAAAACCTGAGACAAATATTCAAAATTCCATTGAAGCTGGTCTAAAATTCTTGAGGAAACAAGTTGAGGAGAAACAGAAAACTTCAAGGCATCGAATTGATTACACGTTGCCATATTAGTGCATAACTATCTCCCTTTGCATCGTATATAGTTGTTGATTCATAAAATTAAATGAAATTTTAATATGATACATATTTCGTTTATTCTTTTCATAAGGATGTTCACAGAAAATTTACAATGTCCAGGAAATATCAAGAATTCTTGAATTTTATTGAAATTATTTAAAATTCCTTTATTTACAAGTTAATGCAACTGAATGTTTAATTAAATTATTCTAAATTGCATAAACCAACCTTTACTTGGTTATAGAACTTCTCAGATTAAGAAGAAAGTTATAAACATGGGTCGGAAAATATATTCTCAAGATCAGGGTTTGAAGTTGCAGTTCCAGAAATTGATTTTTAGAATATGCTGGAACTGCTTAAAAATAAACCAAAGGGGACAAAGGTCTATGACAAAAAAATTTTGATGATACATTTTTTCCCTTATAAAAAAAATTTAATTTATTATACAAAAATCAGTTCTTCCATTTTTTATTTAAATTACTCACTTTTGAGTACATCCAAATTTTAAAGCTCTCATACTAAAAAATATCTCGTTATAATAAAAAAATGGAGCAAAAATTTCTTCCAGTTCACAGTTTTATATACCCGCCCATGAATAATTCTAGTTAACAGCACCATTACCATTGTTCCTTATAAATGATGACAACCAATGAAATACCTGTGTAAATTTTAATTTGATTGTAGTAAGGCGTTTTGGATTTATTCAAGAAAATGTTTTGAGTAATTGTAATTTCAACACCCTGTATCTCGGAAACTAAATCGACCCATATTTATGCTATTAGAATTTAGCCAATTTGTGATATTCAGATTTCAGAGAAGCAAATTTGATTTACACCCTGATTAAAAATTTTCATTTGGTGGTATATTTATATATTGGGTGGGTGTGAAAGCCAAGGAGGGGTAAGGTTATAAAAGGAAGAACCGTTCAGAAAAAAATCAATTTAAATACTTTAAATTTACCGCACCGGAAGTATGTTGGTACAAGTGACCATTGACATTTAACCCAGGTTTGCCAACATTAAAAAACAAGATTTCTTCTCGGTCCGTCTGCGTTTTGTTGCACGTGGATTATAATAACTATAAGGTAAATTTGTTATTAAAACGATTTGTGCTATCAATTTTAGTGTATTCCTTTATTGTGGTTAATATTAGTCATACACCAGAAAATATATTTCTTGAATCATTACTTTTTTTTCAATATTAACCTCTTTTCTATTTACAGGCAACATGGTAGCCCAAAAGAAACAGAAAAAAGCTATTGAAAGCATTAACAGCCGTTTGGCTTTGGTTATGAAATCTGGCAAATATTGCCTAGGATATAAACAAACCCTTAAAGTAAGTAGATATTTTATTTACAATACTACACGATTAAAGGATACTTGAGCCCCTACAAATTAATTGTAAACCCACTGTGTTTAATTTTGCAGTTTGAATTGTTAGGAATATTGTAGTTTGAATTGTTTGTTTTGAAATTAGGATTAAAACTTATTGTAAAAGGATTACTATTGTTGGAAGACTTAACTGACTCAAAATATATATATGTATACATATTTATAAACGTTTAAATTTAAGATTTTGGAGGTGAATGCATTCTTCAAATATTAATTAATTTTAACATAGGTACTATTTTGCTTTATGAATTAAAAAATAATGATAAACTTACCTAATTGCAGTATAGTTCTTAATTTTTTGCATGTAGGTACACTGGTAATATTCTACACCGAATTGAACCTATAATTAGCACTACCTTGTGATAGTAGACATAGTATGTGTTCTCATTGCTCAAAATAGCGAACAAACAACTATAACATTTATAATAAAAATGTTTTGAAAAATTAAGTCACGATAAATTCGTTATTTCATCTTTTCATAATAAATGATTTACATTTTTTATAAAACTATAATTTTTCTTGTAGACTCTACGACAAGGTAAAGCCAAACTTATCATCATTTCCAACAACACACCTCCACTTAGGAAATCAGAAATTGAATATTATGCTATGTTGGCCAAAACTGGAGTTCACCATTACACAGGAAATAATGTCGAACTAGGCACAGCGTGTGGTAAATACTTCAGGGTGTGCGCTATGTCCATCACAGATCCAGGTGATAGTGACATTATTAGGTCGATGCCTGCTGGTGATGGAGGACTACAGTAAATAATTTAAGTCATTGATAATTTCTAAATTTTTATTTCTATGAATGTAAATTAAAATAGAAAAGTTAACAGTGTTTCTTAATGTTCCAATCTCTTAAAACCTAGATTTATTAGATTTTTCATTTAGGATAAAATATTAATCAGTTAAAATTAGTTACATTTTACAAAAAATATGGAGTTTATTAACTACATTCAACTATTAATTTACTTTAACTTATTAGCTACTTAGAACTACAGTAAAACCTCCCTTTCCGGACACCTCCCTTAAACGGGCACCTCTTTTAAGCGGATACTTTTCATGTGGCGGAAAGATTCCCTATATTTCTCTTTAACCCTTTCGCTGCGCAATACGTCTAAACGTAACTACCGCTCCGTGCGCGAAAGTTTATCGCGTGCGAATATATACGTCTGGAGCAGTTAGACCACTTACAGTTTTACATTATGTTGTGTTAAATTACGATTTATGATCAATTTTACGATTTTATTTTGAATAAAATACAGTATATATGTACTAAATAGAAACTGAAAGAAACATGAACAATTTTGGTATAATTACCAGCACCTCTTTCCATAAAAATATTTGTCACAATCGGTATAAGCTCGCCCGCAAAAATTCGCCTTACCAATTGCAATAACCCAGTCACTAATGCGCATGATTGCGAATATATGCAGTTTGAGCAGCCTGATCCAATTTAACTATTCATGCGAATTATGTCTGGAGCAGTTTGAGCCCTATAAATTTTTAGCGAATATATACATCTGGAGCAGTGAAAGGGTTAACAATTATACCTCTCTTGACCGGACCCTCTTTTGTAACGAAGTAAACCTCTTTAGGACGGACACGAGCGACATAACTTTAAAATGCAGTACCGATCTCGAATTTCAAGCATATCATAAATAACATGGAGAATACAGAATCTGCTACCCAATTGGGGATTTCTCATTTACAACAAAATTATCAGTTTATGAAAGTTTACTTGACAACAAAAAGTGAAAATGTCGTTGAATTATAATTTGAACTCAAAATATTTTAGCATTTTTCATTAAGCTTGAGAATTTTAGTTTCATTACCTACTTGCAGGTGTTATTTCTTCTGCAATTTATTTGAAAATGTCCGTTTCTAGTAAAATTTTACATACAAATTTTCCGTCTTGTTTTAAAATAATTATGTTGATGTACATATAATAAAAAAATAAATACTTATTAATGCAGATTTAAAAAATTTTTTTAAATCATTTAAAATTTTTAATAAAAAGTGTTCATTACTGTGTTTAGTTTGTGAATCTCAGAATCAATGATTTCTGACATTCACTTAGTTTAACTGAACTACATATCAATCCACCTGATGTGATATGACAACAGGGTGTTAGGTGGCCAAAAATTGAATGGCCAATACTAATTGAGTGGAGTAATGGCCGAATATGCTACTATACAGGGTGTTTTTAAATGTAGTAGCAAAAGTGGTACCAGTGAATGTAGAGCCAAAAATAAGAGGATTGAAGTAAAAATACCTTGATGAAAGTTGCACCCCTGAGGCGATATACCCTCTTAAAGGAGGATATTGAAATTCACATTTTAATTTTTTTCTTTAACATGAGGAATGCTAGAGACACAAAACTTGGTATGAGTATCCTACTAATAAAGAGAACTTTACAATATTTGTTCGATCATTGGCGTATTTTATAAAGAAGTGAAAAGTCAACCCCATTGCAATATTTTGTTAGAAATTTTTTATATGACAAATTATTTAAAAATATTTATTGGGAAGACATGATTTATTGCGCAACTTTTTTACCTCTTGTAATTTTTCGATAAAATTGAGTTTTCTATTAAAAAAATTAGATGCGTCATCATTCACTAAAGGGGTACCTAACTGCGAAAATTTGTAAAAATAAAGTAGGCGGATGTCATAACAAATAAATTGTTATTTATCATATTAATAAATTGACACTTTCTGTCAACCAATAATTAGTACCAATTGATTAATTTATTATCAGATAATTATGGCAAATAATATTTATACCAATGACGAACATGTCGACATGCTCCAAGTGTTTTTCGAATCCAGAAAAAATAGTAACGCAGTAAGATTATACCACTGAAGATATCCAAACCGACCGATTCCTCATAGATAAACATTGGCCTCGGTGGAAAGAAGGCTTTGCGAAACTGGTAAAATTCAGCACAATCGTGAGGGTGTCGGAAGAAGGCGTAATGTCCGAACTGTTGAAATTTAGGAAGCTATACTGGAACATCTAGAACAAGACTGGTACAAGCACAAGACAGGTGTCCATGTCCAAGCAACTGCAAGTTTCTCACAGTCTTGTGTGGAATGTAGCTCATGAAAATATTTTATACCCTTTTCACCATCGACCCGTGCAAGAATTAATATTTCCAGGCATGACTTGCACAATGGGGTACCTGCACAAAGTACACTTGCCGTTAGAGAACGGTTAAATTTAAATTACCCAAATCGCTGGATTGATCGTGATGCCCCCGTTTGTTGGCCTGCACGTGCACCTGATCTAACGCCTATGGATTTCTTTTTGTGGGCACGTAAAAAAAATATTGTTTATGCCACTCCTGCTGCCTCCTTAGAGGAACTACGCTTAAGAATATTTCAGGCAGCAGATGACCTTCGTAATAACCAAGAACTGTTTGTGCGAGTGCGTTATAACTTCAACAGATGTATTAGGTTATGCTTGCAGCAAAATGGAAATTATTTCGAGAATAATCTTTAAATGTAATTTTACATTTCTTGTTTTTCGTTTGTATTAAAATTTTATTTCAGATAAATAACTACCTATTGCATGTCTCATCATAAGATATCAAACATTTTTCATTAATTAATAGCAAATATTCTTAGTTATTATTAAATTACCAGCTTATTGACAAAAAGTGTCAATTTATTAATATGATAAATAACAATTTATTTGTTGACATCCGCCTACTTTATTTTTACAAATTTTCGCAATTACCCCTTTAGCGAACGAACGCATCTAATTTTTTTTATTAGAAAACTATCGGCTTTACCAAAAAATTACAAGAAGTAAAAAAGTTGAGCAATAAATCAGTCTCCCCAATAAATATTTTTAAATAAATAATTTGCATCATATAAAAAATTTCCAATAAAATATTGCAATAGGGTTGACTGTTCCGTTTCACTTCTTTATAAAATATGCCGATGATCGAACAAATATTGAAAAGTCGTCTCTTTATTAGTAGGATGCTCATACCAAGTTTCGTGTCTCTAGCATTCATGTTAAAGAAAAAAATTAAAATGTGAATTTCAACCCCCTTCTTTAAGAGGGTATATCGCCTCAGGGGTGCAACTTTCATGTAAGGTATGTTTACTTTAATCCTCTTATTTTTGGCTCTACCATTCACTGGTACCATTTTTGCTACTTCATTTAAAAACACCCTGTATATAACGCTTGTTTTGCAGTGTATTGGTGCGAATTTCGTGATTTTCTGTGAAGTATTTAGTTTTTACTGAAATCACGATAAAATTTGTATAACAGTGATAGTGGTGTTTGTGCGTCTTCATTCTTAAAATTCTCAATGAAAAGACAAAGGAATAAAGAAAGATGACCAATGGGAATATAAAGTCTTCAAACCCTCACAATCCTTTATTCTAAAATTAATTATATACGAAGACTAGTTTCGACGTCAATATTACACCTCATCTGGAGCTCGATTCTTGACGGTGAAATAAGAGAATGCTCCCTAGGGAACGTTCCCTCATTTCACTCTACTACTGTTCTATCAGAAAATTCATAATGTATTCTCGACACAAAAGGATCGAGCCATGAAAGTGAAGAACGAGGAACAATGTTGTCAAATGTACCGACCAATCAGAAAGCAGTGAATAGGCGGTAGAATGAAAACTAGTGATGAGCTAGTCATGAAATAAGTGCTACTTTATTTAGAGTTATCGTTATTTGTCTGTCAGTGTCAGGTGCAGTCTAAAAAGGAAAAGAAAATGGAAATTAATAAAAAATTGAAGCTAAATCCCGTAAGTTCTAAACAAAAAAAAACTTCTAATAGAATATATTGAGGGTAAAAAACAAATGTATACTGGAAAGTTATCACTCGGTTAGTCTAGAGAGAAAACGAGGGCTAACTGGGAAGAACTTACAAATATTTTAATACTATATTAGGCAGATCCATTTTATTTTATTATGATTTTATTCGTGTATTGTACAATCCTTCAAGTAAATACAAATTATATGAACGTTTCCTCAAATTTCTCGAAGGATATCACCACAAAACAGTAGCTGGAGATATTACGACAGATTGCGAAATTCGTAATTTGTGTAATATGTCAAAAAATATAGGGTTAGGTTTAATGATCCCTGCTCGTTCCCCCGAAAATATCGGTAGAAGGAATAGGGAACAATTCTTCTACCATTACTCAATAGAACACCATTCAAGAATACCGATTAATGGGTTTTAGTAGAGACACGTACCCTTTCTCTCAATCCTACTCCCTATAATTCAAGAATAAAGTCCCTGGTCATACAAGGATATCCTTATATGATCAACAGTAGAGTATGAAAATTAAAGTTTAACCCTTTCGCTACGGCTATAATATAATTTTTTCTGCTTGCCACTTACATGTTCATAAAAACCTATTTAATTAAAATTAATAAAATTAATTGTGCATCTCCTTTATTACCATAACTTACTTAAGGACCATCCTGTATAATATCCTAAATACCTTAATTCTTCTTGTGCGATTGAGAATCCAGATGTCACTGACAAAAAAAAACGTCATAAAAACTAGATGTTTATTAACGCCATAATATTTACAATAATTAATCATACATTACTTGCCCTTAGATTATTTAAGTATGGACTGTTCTTCGTTATAAATAAAAAACTGCAAACTACGGGAGTAATTAATATTACAATTCATACAGAGTCCACCAGGACATTAATCCTTCCAAGGAAATATAATTTATACTATCAAAATGATACACAACCCAGTTCCTCTGTTAAACACAACATTGTGCTGTACTGACTAAAAAAAAGGCAGAACTGTACATCCTTACGTTGCTACGAACAAATTGAATAAATAAAATAAGATTATTGTCAGCATCTATTAAAAAAACAGTACATTGTAAAAAAATAAGAAGAAAAACGGGAGGAAGAGGATGGCTTTCTATACAGTGGGGATCTGAAAAAAATGACAGGACCAGCTCTCATCGGGACAAGGACAAACTTCTTTCTCTCTTCGTATCTCCGGCTCCGTGTTCTCCCAGTAGTTGCTGGGGCGAGATTTTCTCGAAAAATGGATGCTGTAAGGCCTCCTTCAGTGTGATCCTTTCTGACGGCTCGTATTCTAACATCTTGAAGACCAAATCAAACAAGTAGTTGTGGTCTGATTCGTCGCTCTGTTTGTACCTCTGCAACAAACAAGAAAATGACAAATATCACATTTCATAATAAATAAAATACAATATTACATTTTTTCCAGTGGGGTTGGAATTAAATATTGAATTGGCCTGCAAAAAGTCGGAATTTTAACTCTGTAGATGGATTAACTGACATGCAGCATATTGATGTTAAGGGGGAATTTCTGAGTAGAATTTTTTTTTAAATTTCTTTTTTGCTCATCTTAAAATTTGTACTCTTAAGAATATTGTGTGTAACCTTCATACTGGAATTTTAATAATTGTGGAAGTTATCGACAATTTACTGGAATGTATTAGGCATCAAGATAGGAAGAAATGCTGATCACCATTGATACCTTATCACCACAACATGATAAGGGAGGATTTAGCGGAGGCAGTCACGAATCACTGCAGAAGTTGGTGCCACTGCTGCGGAGGGCTTACTCTATGGTCCAGGTATCGCAGATTAACGGTTGAGTAAAAAAAAGTTACCTCAATGTAATGTTACACAGGGTGTCCCGAAAGTAGCGGGCAATATTTCTACAGGGTGTTCTATGTCAGAAAAGACTTCCTAAGGAAATTATAGCCACTTAAAAAGGGCAACTGATGGTTTTTTCTAAATAACTCTGAAATCAGTTGAGATAAATTTATAAAATTTGGTAATTAGCTTAACTCTTGCGTGCTGTCCTCTACTAAAACGAAATTTACAAATTTTCATCACATACGTTCGAACACTGAGGGGTAACATTTACCATAACTTTTTTATGCGTCGACTTTTTTGACTTTTGACTGAAAAGTATTCAGAGTTTTTTTAATAAAAAAAAGGTACTCTTGGTAAAATGTTCCATTTGTGTGTAAAATCCGTTTAAAAATAATGTTACATGTGTTAATCACCGGGAATCAAAATTGTCAATATTTTTTATCATCATTTTGAATAGGCATTGACAGTTCAATTATTTACTTCTTGTGAATTGTTATTATCACAGAAATTTATAATTTTTAATAAATTATTATTTGACAAAGTAAAAAAAAAACAATTATAATTATTAAGTAGTAATAAACTAATAAAAATAATTGAAAACCACACTATTGTCTTATCTTTATCTCGATAGTAATTTTTACAGCAATGCTCAAACGGATTTCCATTTTGCTGAATACATTTTTCAGTTCCGACATCAAATTGCCCGAGAAGAACTTAAAAATTCAAAATTATTTTATCTGATTTGATTTTGTAGCGTAAACTACAGCCTTCATCCTACCCCACAGAAAGCAATCTAGAGGATTTAGGTGTAGAGACCGAGGTGGCCATGGAATGGGACCACCTCCACCTATCCACCTGCCAGGAAAATGATCGTTTAACCAATTTATGACATTATGGGTAAAATGAGGTAGTGCCTCTTCTTGTTGATAGTGTAATGTTAAGCGTACGTTTAAAGGTGTATCATCCGATAGTTCTTTTATATCATTTTGTAGAAAGTTTAAGTATCCTTCTGCATTCAGACAAACGGGAAAATGAATTGGTCCAAGTAGCTAGTCCCCTAAAATTCCTGTCCACGCATTTATTGCAAATCTATTTTCAAAATTTGTGCGCCGTATTGCCCGTGGATTATCGTCTGACCGGAAGTGGGTATTATGAATATCTACTAGCTCTACATTCGTAAAATATTGCATTTTCGACTGATAACAATTCACAATGAGTAAATAACTGAATTGTCAATGCAAATGACGCCAAACGCATTTTTGTTATTCAGAACATCCGACAATAAAAAATATTGAAAATTTCGATTTCTGGTGATTAACAAATGTAACACTATTTTTAACAAAACATTCTACCAATATGAACCAAGAATAACTTTTTTTTACTAAAAAATTCAGAAATTTCAAACTTTTCAGTCAACACATAATAAAGTTATGGTCAATTTTACCCCCCCCCCCACTTCGTTTTTGTAGCGAACTGAGCATGGAAGTATTAAGGTAGTTACCAAATTTTATAAATTTATCTCAACTGGTTTCGGAGTTATTTAGTAAAAACCATTATCAGAGTGGCCGTTTTAAGTGGCTATAACATCCTTAAGGAAGAATTTTTGGTACCACGTTTATATAAAAAAAAAGTAATCTTTTTCGACATAGAACACTCTGTAGAAATATTGCCCCCTAATTTCAGGACATCTTGTATATTATGTAATAATTATGAATTATTTACAGAAGTTGATTTTTCCAAAAAGTGAAGAATATCATGTGTAAATATTATTATCTTGACATTCCAGGTACTGTAAAAGTTATGGGCATTTACCGAGAAGCTGACGAGTGGCGAAGTTTCAAGCACGTCGATTTTTTACTAAACTTCAAATGCGATTATCTCAAAACATACTATTCAAAGACGTTTCTCAAAATATTCAGAAAACGGCTCAACTGTTTCCTTCCAAAATTTGACACATTTTTTCGAAAAGGTTTGGTACTTACATAGGATTTTTTTTTATCAAGCCAGAAAGGTCAGAAATTAAGGTTGAAAAATGAATTTCGTGAAAATTTGTTTTTTTTTTTTTTAAATCCTACGCTGCGAAGGGCATCATACATTACAATTTGAGCATCTTTTTGAAATTTTTATAATTTTGTCGTAACTTGGATAAAATCGAATAGATAGATTCTGAGATGATAATTCCTAAAATTCACCTATTTTTTCCGCTGTCTGCTCAGATGTTCCCCCTTAATATAATGGGACATAAAATTGCCACGTGTATTAGTGATGATCGTTCATGAACGATCCGGTCATAATCTTCTAAAAGACCGCAAACTGAGTGCCTGCAGATCTGAACTGGAGAGGTGGTGTTGATACAGAATGAAAGCCACGAAAGATCGACTCTATGATCTATGATTGGGTATCGATACTCTGTAAGTTGGTATTGTATGTTTGTGATCTGAAATCTAAATACTGGACACTCTAGTCTGAAGCGGATGTAGTTGCACATTCTAAACTTATTTCATTTTTACGAGTACTTGCAGAATTATTATTCGTAAAATCTTCACTAACTGCCACTGTGGGGTGAGCTAATTTTAAATGTCAAATTAGACTGCCAATTGCTCCACTTTTAAAAGACATAATTTTGGAACAAAAGTTGGATTTTGCCTTGTCACCAACAGTTCAAAAAAAAATTCCATACACTATGTCTTTTTTTGGTTTTAAGACATTTTTTACATTTTAACCAACAGTGGAATATAATACACCTAGCGAACTTGCCTCAAAGACTGCTGTTATAAAACTAAACTAGATAAAAATTGTTTTAAATTTTGAGATATAGTATAGGCGCTTTTAAGGGCTCCAAGAATTAAATACGACACAAAATCTGTGTCTTCTATCAAAATTACTTCTTTACCCTTTATTAGCAATTTACTTACTACAGTCCGTAAACCTTAAGAAATTTGATATTTGCAATAGGAAGGAGTATAAAGCTAATTAACTTACCATGAGAGGCTTGCAATTGTCTCTGACGTATCTTCCTGCAGAACTCTTCTCATCCCACTCCAATTTTCCCCTATAAAAATATTTAGTTTTTGTCTTTCGAGCCATCCTACAAAAATAATCAGGATTATTGCAATTCGCGAATTATTAAAAGTATTTACAGACCTGACAGGAATTTCACCTAGAATTCGTTGCATCATAGCGAGATGTTCTCTATTATCGTGCGTTTGGAAAAGAGTTATGCCGAGGTACAATTCAAATAGGATACAACCTATCGACCATACATCACAAGGCTGTGACCACCCTAACTCTAAAACACAAGAAAATATTGTATTTTTTATATTATTGAAAATAAAAAGTCGCGTAACATTTTTCCTTTTATTTTTCTCATATTCAGTTCAAACGGGCACTAATGAATTAAAAATTAACTTTTCAAAATACGGTAATTTTCATAAATGAAATACTGTACAAAATGCTACATAAGCTCAATTTGGTATGATCTAAATAAGAATCTAAGTACTCAGCAAAGAACAATGTTAAAAAATCGGCATTTTCTGCCCATCCGGGGGAAAGTGTGCAATGCTTCCTCTTTTTTTTTTTTTACTAATTTTGGGGTGCTGAATACGAATCCGTCATTCTTATCGGCCAAAAATGTCAGGAACACAGAACGCCCCCTTTTTTTGGAGGTGTATTGGAGTTGACATTGTAACTTGCAATTATTAGTGGTTCTAGGAGCGGTTAATTTTTGTACGACTTTATACTATAAAAACACTGTACTTTGATAGCTAAGCAGAAAAACACCAATCCACCCTCTCACCCCTTCCTAAGAAGGGATTATTTCAATATAATTGCTATCCAGTTATTTTTTTTGGGTTATCCAGGGGAAAGTGTGCAATGCAATTTTATTGATTAGTTTTTGAGTGTCGAGTACGAATCCGTCGCCTTTATTGCGTAAAACTGCCGGGAACACAGTAAAAACACCACTTTTTGAGGGTGTTCTCATTCAGGTCATTTTTCTGCTTAACTATCACAGTACAGTGTTTTTAAAGTATAAAGTCATACAAAAATTAACCTAGAACCACTTGTAGTTGCAAGTTATAATGTCAACCCAATACACCCCCAAAAAGGGGAGTTTTCATTGTGTTCCCGACATTTTTGGCCAATAAGAATGACAGATTCGTATTCAGTATCCCAAAAAAACGCCTATTTTTTAAAAATTTGATTAGTTACAGCGCTGTCACTGAAAGCACGATATAACACATAGACCCGATGATAAGACTTTAAGATACTACGAGGGTTGCATTTTATATTTCGGGAACAGAAAACAGAAAAGAAATTAATCATCGTATGCGGCTTTATTGTTTTTCAAAACATTCTCCATGAAGATCAACACACTTCTGTATGCACTTGAATCAATTTTCTAAGCACTTTTCCATTCCGATTGAGGTACCTCCAAAACATGCATTTTGAAGGCAACAACAGCTTCTTCAAGCGTTGAAAAACATTTAACTTTGTAATTTATTTTTGATGTGCAGGAACAAAAATGTCATTGAGTGCCAAATCAGGGCTGTACGGCAGATAACTCATCAATTCGATTTTTTCAGTTCTCAAAAACGCCTCTTGTTTGAGCCGATGTGTGAGAACTCGTATTGTCTTGGTGGAGAATGATGCGTCTCTGGCGGTTAGTTTTACTTATTTTGCCAAAGTCTTCTGTCAATGTGTACCATTCAAAATTGACCGTTGAAAGACCCACACAGTCAACTGTTGTTTACTTTCGAGTTCATACGTATAAATCCATAATTGTTACAATCCATACGTTACGAAGTCATAGAGGTGTTTGAAGTATTGCAATCATATTTCTTGAGTATTTCTTTCAAGCAATCGATATAAGCCTTTTTTTGAGCGTTTATCAAATTATGTGGGATCTAACGTGAAAAAATTTTTTTGACGGCCTAATCAAGCATTATTGAACGCATACCCAAGGGCGCCTCAATCTTATGATAAGTTACATGACGATCTTGTAATATTAGCTCAGGTCCAGTATCAATGTCTTCTGGAACAATAATTGATTTTGGACGATCTTCACGAAATTCGACGGTGAACGACCACGGTCACGATTGAATTCCGTATACCACCGATATACAGTGACTTACGATGCTGTTTTATCCCCGAAAGTCAAATTAAGTTCAACGATGCAGTGTTGTTGAGATAATCCAGGTTGAAAGTAGTAGAGTATAATTGCAGGGAAATGTTCATGACTTTAATTACATTTTTTGGCCGAATAAATTTTTCAAATCACTGTAAACAACACCAACAGTGCCTGTACGTCAAAACGTTATTAGTAAGTATACAGACAAAAAGTCGAACTTTAAGATCAGTACGTCGGTTGTCAGATGGCAGCACCAGGATCGTCCATTCCCGAAATATAAAATGCAACATAAATTTGATAAAACAGGTTTCATGTTTTAGTAATCCTAATATACACATAAAATAAAGTCATAAAATAGCCCAATTAAATTTTTGTTGACCATATTTCACAAGAGTTTCTACTAAAAAATATTAAAGTGCTGGAATGAATACATCTTCACTGGAAACTTTAGAATTAGAAACTTTTGTTACATTTAATGTAATGTGTAATTTTAAAATATGGATTAATCACAACGAAACGCTGATGCAATTATTGACTTTATCGACAAATCATAAGTTAGAATTATTTACGTCTATCAGAATATGCTATAAAAACATAGTCATTTTCTCTACCAATCCTTGGGAAAAATTGTACAAAAAAAAAATTAAAACAACCCATCACTTGTATTATAATACTGATTAAATCATGTATTATCACTGCAAGTTGTACATTTTTAATTTTTCTTACGTTTATAAAATATTTAGACTTTATAGTGTTAATTAATAGCGTGACATATACAGGTTATTTCTGCTAAGCGCATTAATAATCATTCTCTAAAAATAAATTCCTAAAAGTGTTTTTCTGTAGTATTTATATCCCTACCTCAAATATGACCTGAAAATACGGATTATTTTTGCATCGAATGACTAATTGAGATTAAAATCATCAGCGTGTGAAAAAAATATACAGGGTGTAACTTTAAGTAAAGACCTCATTAGGGGTAGTAGTATAGAATATTAATACTAATAGAATACTGCTAGAATACTAATCTGAAATTAATTTCTCTTAAATCAAGTAGATAGTCGAGTTATAATTAGTTTTTTAAACTGCACACAAATTTAAAATTATTATTACTAATCTAATAACATTTGAAATACTTTTCATTTCAAGTTAAATAAAAACATTTACTATTTTCTTAAAGCACTGTGTTTAGTTTGTCGACCTCAGAGTCAATGACCTAGTTTAGGTGAACTATATAACAATCCACCTGATATGATATGACAACAGGGTGCTAGGTGGGCAAAAAACAAAATGATAATGTTAATTGGGTAAAAGGAGAATAGCTGTGTATGTGGCCTTATTTTATTTACATTTACATTTATTTTACTTTACTGTTTAACAGCTTACCTGATGTCTTTACTGCAAACAAAATAGAATTTGTATTGTGCAAGCTTGTGTTTTGTTAATTTTATTGTAAATTTTAGGGGATATTTAGTGATGTGTTTGTTTATATTACATATTTGTTAAATATCTGAATATTACGAAAAAATAAAAATAGAAAACAAGAAATACAAGACATAACAATGTATGCCGTAGCTAACTCGATATGTACTCGCGTGACTCGAGCATACGGTGTTTCAAGGTTACATCAGTCAGTCCAGTGATTAGTTCAAACAAATTACACTTGCAGAGAAAAACAATTCTTACCTGGACATTTATAAGTGGAAGTGGTAAAGGGGGCTTACAATAAAGGTAAAAAAAATAAATGCATCAGCAGGGGTGGCGGAGGGTTGATTTGGGGGCTTGAAAAATTGTGTTGTGATTTTGAAGTGGACTGTATTTTTCTTGTATGATGTGTTTGAATGGAATGAATGATTTAATTGTTATATTATGGTTTGCTTTTTACAAGTTTTGGAGTGAACTGCACTCTAAAATGTCTGTGTTGTAATTGTGGCTAGATAAGAGATATACAGTGCTTTCGAAAAGTAACGAATAAATTCATTATTTTTTAAATTGAGAAGTTTTCGAAAAAATACCTCGTCACTTCCTAACACATTGTATCATTGGGATTTCTGGTGAAAGTTGCCGTCAAACAAAAGAGTTGTAAATCATGCAAAAATCTACAACTTTTGTCGAGGTCACTTTTTAAAATAACTTCAAACTGTCCGAGAAAAATGTGAAAAACTGTATTTTTTTCTTATTTTTTGTTTATTTCCGCAAAAATAATTTAATTTTAACGAAACTTGGTGAAAGTATACCTTTCTGTGTCTTAAATAACCACAAATTTTTTTAGACAAAAAAATCAAGAAGTTTACGAGATATTCATTTCTTCCCGTCTGAAACACTTTTTTTTTCAAAGAAAAATTCTACTTAGAAAAATCATCGTACAGAGTTCTGCCAGTGATTATTTTGTTTTGTTTTGACATACTTTTTGGTGAAATAAAAAAATCTGTAGTCACAGTTCAAAAATGCAAAAAAATAAAAAAATGACTTGTAACAATGAATTTTTCAGTAATTGTTCATAATTTGAAAAAAAAAAATGAATTTTTCTCGGAAAATTGAAGGTTATCTTAAAAAGTGAACTCTACAAAAGTTGTAGATTTTTGCATGATTACAACTTTTGTATTGGATACTTTTTTGTTTGACGTCAACTTTCGCCAGAAATCCCAATGATACAATTTTTCACAACCTTTCAACCCCCCAAATCAACCCTCCGCTACCCCTGCTCTCGCATTTATTTATTTTTTCGGTTTATTATAAACCCCTTTACCATTTCCACTTATAAAAGTCCAGGTAACAATTTTATTTTTTTCCCTCTAAATGAGTTATTTCGATCGTTCTAGATGTGATATGAAAATTATGAAGAAAAAGCTTAAAAAATCAATTTCAACAATGTAACTTGAGAAAATTAAATTATTACATTCATTTCTAAAGGTCAAAGGTAACCTCTGTATAAATATCACCACCATTCAAAATTACACCCTGTATATTGTAAAATTTCCTGTTGCTTGTTATATCTTCAACACACACACATATTAAGGATCATAAATAAAAATTAATTATTTCCTGCAGAATTAATAAATATTTCGAAGTTTGGTCCATTATCTATAATTAACTTGGATTTTCCAGTGTTGTGAAAAATTATAAATAAGTAGTAAGTCTTCCTTGAAAATATAGAAACAAAAAATCCTTTGAAGTCAACTGAACTTAAAATATTTTTGTCCAATTCTTATTAACCGTTTCCGCTTCTATATCATACGCCTCTAACTAGTTTTTAAATTCTATTGAAAGATCAATTACTCACCTAATATAACTTCCGGAGCTCTATAGTGACGAGTGGATACAATCGTACTATGATGCTCATGATCAAACGTCGCACTACCAAAGTCAATTAACCTAACATCAGTTCTTTTCACTCTTTTTACATCTCTCCTCTAAAACAAAACACGAAAATTCATCCAAATGACGAAAACGGACATTGCCTTACTCACCTTTTTACTATTATACACTAAGTCGTAATCCGAATCGACAAACAATATATTTTCCGGTTTGAGATCGGTGTGTGTTAGTTTGTTATCGTGTAGAAATTTGACGGAGTAACATAATTGGTATCCTATGTGCCGCACCTGGTCCAACGGGTATGGCTGGTAGTTGTTGTCTTTCTGCAAAAGACGTTGGAAAAGGTAAAATTGAGTTTTTGTAACTGTAGGTCTGCATTTTAGTATGTCAAAAATTTTACGATTACTATTTAAATCTCGTTAAGTATCATTTATAATTCATTTTGGACTTTCGGTTAGAATTCGCTTGAATAACAGACCGCATAAACATTTGATTCAATTTGAATCATGAATACCTACGGAAAGCATAACAATGATATTCACAGAAAAGTGGAAATTAATATTATTCTCGCTGTGAAAGTATGATTTCATTTTGATCCTAAAATATAGCTTACTATTTTTAAGATAAACAGAACTATCTAATTTTAGAGATTTTCAGTGTTTATAAATAAACTTTTATGATGGCAACACTTATTGACTTTTTCATTTTTTTTTAATCAATGGATATAAAAAATTTATACATTAAAAAATTTGAGTATGTAGTAACATTGAAAATAATTCTAAAATATCTTTTAATAAGTGAAGTTATACCGGGTGTTTTCTAAGGCTATGTTATAAATTCAACGGGTTGTTTCTTGGACTATACTCAAAATAAAATCTTACCGGACAAAAGCATTAAAAACTTATTTATTCAAACACAAATTGAAGCTGTTTGGTGCAGATTAATGAAACTTGAGCTAATAAGGTCAAGGTAAACACTTTATAATTTCGACACCAACGACTGTATCGAAAATTTGATAAGCTCATTCAATTCTCAACCGCGTCTAAGAAAAAAGATTTTTTCCATTTTATTCCAAGGACAACTATTTTTTTTATTTAAAATAAGCTTACATCGCTTAATAAATCGAAAATAACATCAAATCTAATCGTTTCACAAGAAAAATGTAAACTAACTTGTTACAAATAGAATTTAAGATTTTTCAGGAGCCCCCCTCCCCTTGTTATTCCTTAAAAAATAAAAATGTACCCTAATGGAATTATAGTTTTTCACGATTGCACTAGTTAAAATTATACAGGTTGTCCAGGAAATGGTGAGAAATCTCAGATATTACCAACTCATAAAATATACCATTACTTTTTTTTTCACTATTATAATTTTTTTTAACGAGAGTGGATCAAATTTGCTACTTATATGTTTTCGTGTAACTTATTACTATTTAAGCAATTCAATGTTTTATCCTTTTTTTAATAATTTGAAAATATTAAATTTGTAAACAAGGGCATAGGTAATACTAAATTATGGGATACCAACAAATGAAAACATTTAGTACTAGGTGTTACATATTTGCTGTTAACGTTTTGATAACTTCAAACAGCTATAACTTTGTTAACTTAAATGGAACACCATGTATTTCTTTACTCTGTCGTATGCAGATTGAAATTTCCTTTCAAGCCATATAATCATTCTTAGGGTTGCCGTTGCTACTTTTTAACATATTTGCAATTTTCTATTTTTTGGACACTTTTTCTCATATGAGACCTGTGTCAAGTTGGCCATGACAAGAAACACTCCAAAAACAATTGAAATAACTTGATATTTGTCAAATTACTATTGTGTCTGAATAGTTTTTGCTGAAAATTTAAATAAAAATACCTGGGGATCGTTTAAATTATATTAATGAAGATTATTATAATTTATTTGTTATATCTAAAAGTAGTAATGGCAACCCTAACAATGCTTATATGGCTTGAAAGGAAATGTCAATCCTCATACGACAGAGTTAAATAATACAGGGTGTTCCATTTAAGTTAACAAAGTTATAGCTGTTTGAAGTTATCAAAATGTAACAGCAAAAATGAAACACCTAGTATTAAATGTTTTAATTTGTTGGCATGCCATAATTTACTGTTACTTATACCCTTTGCAGGTACCAAATCCACTTTATATCATGCTCCTAAAAAGAGTTATTAGCATCTCCGCGGACCCTTGCATCTCTGTCAAATATTTTCTTTTAAAAATTAATATCTCAAATTTCACGTAGAATCCGAAAATGCAATAATATATTTATTTATTTTCAAATTTTTCGGATCAGTACTTTTCTAGATATCGATCGATGCAGTTCCCGGTGGGACACCCTGTATTATAAATATTTTTCTTGAAATAACAACGGAAAATCGAAAAAAAAAAATTTACTCGACTTTAAAAAAAAAACAATTACCCATTAACTCTCGTTAATTGGACGCCCTACTTCCCAACACGAACGTTGAACGAAACACCTGTCGTGCGTGTTGCATTTTGTAATCGATTTCAATTGTATAAAATGTAGCGAATTCAAACTTTATTAAGTGCTATGGACGAATGAGTGTTTTTTCAGTCGTAAATATTAAATAGTAGGTACCACTACTTTTTGAAAAGCAATGATACTTTTATAATTAATATAGTATGTGCATACCTGCACTACAAACTGAATAATAGTTGACCATATTACTAAAAACTCATATTCAATAATTATAAAATAGTAAAAACGTTGACAACATTAAAGTTAGGTTAGTAACCGAACAGTACGGTAGGTCAAGATTCACTCGCGATGTAGGTCAGCGGTCATGAGCGGTCCAAAAAGGGATTTAAATAATGATTTGAAAATTTTTTTTTGCAGCGTAAATATACATTTTAAAATTTTTTTCATCGCATATTCGTATTTTACTAATTTTTCCCTATCCTCCCCTAAAATTAATGACATTATGACTGAACCACCCTGTATAATGTATAATAATAAATATTTTTTATATAAGTTTTTATTTGAAATTTCACTGTTTTTGAAAATACTAAAATATATATTTAAAATCTGCATAAAAAACTGATTATTCATATTACATGTTTTTGCTAAAAAAATTGTATGTTAAGGGGTTAGTGTCAAGAATTTTTAAGGATTTGTTACACAATTTTCTTTTGTAATTATACCAATTATTATTTATAATAAACGTTGGCACTAAAAAAAATTTGCAGATTTATATATCATTAAAGCCTTTTAGTATAAAACGATACACAACCTTTTGAAGTTATTACAAACTTACAAATTAACGAAATGAGATTACTTACCAAGAAATCAAAGACACTAAGCCCTAGCATCTCAAAGGCAATACACATGTGCCCATGATAGTCAAACCAATCCAGCATTTTTACGCAAAGGCTAAAAAATACGTTTACATTACTCTTTTCAAAAATTTACCATTTACGAGAAGCTTAGAAGCCTTCATGCTTACTGTACACAATCAGGATCCTTGTCGGCTAACTTTTCTAGTACGTTAATTTCCAATTTAGCAGCCTCTCGGTACTTTTCTACATTTTTAATAATTTTCAAGGCCATGGAATGATCCCTGAAATAGTTTTGTACATTGTAGCGAAATATTAATTTTAGAGTTTTGACTACAAAACAAGTTTTACAAGAGGTCATATTTTTAAAAGTAAAAAAAAAGCCACCACTGAGTATTAACAGAAATTTTGGACAGCTTAAAAAAATTAAATCAATCTAGTCATATAATTTTGTATACAGGGTGTGTGGCGAGTATAATCTATAAAATTAAACTACAGTTTCCCGTAAATATAAAAACATTTTATGAAAATTTAAATTGATAATTTTATGAAACCGAGTGCAAACGTTTATTATTTCAGTTTCATTCTGTGATATTTTTACAAAGACCATCCAAATAGATAAAGATGTATGTACTTGTATACGTGAAAAACAAAATTAAGAATAAATTATTCTGAATGATAAATAATTTGTAGATTTAGTTGGTCGTCAAAAAAGTGTTGAATGCACCAAATTTGAATTGATTATTATAAAAAACGTGTAAAATATTTGAGAATTACTAAAGAAAAAATAAATAAAACTAAAACCTATGTTCAAATGAATTATTGTCAGCAGAATATTGCAAGATCCTGTACAGTAAATTTTTCCATATTTCTGGAGTTTCTATGGGAAAGATTTTTCCTTCCTTTTGAAAGACAGAAAAAAATAGTTTAGGTATCAGCGGCGGAAACCGCATCTCGATATCTCGTTTCATTTAAGATATACAGGGCGTTTTTCAATTTTGACCGTTTTTTTATGATGTCCCGTAATTTTTTTGTTTATGAAAATATTTAATATAGAAATATTTTCAGTTATAACGGAAACTATTACTCCTTTAAATGGAACCCTAGATGTGTTCAAATTCTTAAAATCTGCTAAAAATATTTGTTTATGTTATTTAACTATTTCTTGACAATCAAAGGTGACATGGACATATTTAATGTATCGATGAAAAACTGAATTGTTTCAAGAAAGACTAATTACAAAATATTTTTTTGTTTCGCGTTTATGGCCCAAAATATATGTAAATAATATAATGTATACGTTTTTCCATTTAAAAGAATAAAGGTTTGTGTTATAACCGAAATACCGGAAGTTACAGAATAATACAGCTTACGCCACTGAATTTTACTATAAAAGCTTATAAAACCAACATCTTAACAAAAAAGTTTTAGAGCATTACAGAAAACGGTCAAAAAATTGTAAAACGCAATATATCTCAAACGAATCAAGATATCAAAATTCGGCTTTTGTAATTTTTTTTTTTATTAGAAAATCGAGTCTGTGACGCCTTAGTTACTTTTTTCGAAAAACAAGTGAAACTCGGTGATAGTGTCGAACTTGGCCCACCTTGTACATAGGTACGTATAGTACGCGCGCTTTAAGAACAAGAGACAAAAAAATTAGTTAATTTAAGGATTTAAAATGTGGTTTAAGGATACCAACTTTCACGCTGGTGGCTAAGTTTATGTGATGTCACTAATGTAATGTTTGATACTTGTCATTTACCATATTCCAAAAAATTAAGTGAACTTATCGAAGAGCTCTTTATGCATAATGCATTACATATCCTTGTCAATATTTTCTTTAATCTAATTTAAAGCTGCCTGCTTACGTATTTAAAACAGGTTAGCATTTTGGACGGCCAAGAATATGTTTTTACCTTTTTTTATCGGATACTATCTTGGCGGATATTTTAGCGCGAGTAGGCGAAATATTGTTGATTTTAGTTAAAAATAACGTTATACTTTGCTATACTTACATTTCTAAATCCTTCACTTTGACTACTTTGCCAAAAGTACCTTCGCCGAGAGTGCCAAGTATTTTATCTGCAATGCAACATCAGGACTTATTAGTAATTATCAGTGATTAGATTGCCGCATAATGAACTGTAATTGTTTTACTAATAATTAGTATTACATATCCTCCAAATTTCTAATTTTAAAAATTCTGGTCCTTTAGAAAAAAAAAATTAAACGGAGAAAAATTATACTTAAATTTCAAATAAAATGAAAAAAATGATAAAAAATTAAGTTTTGATTTTAAAAAATTAAATGTAAAAAATCTTCAAGTATGTCAAAACAATATACTTAGTCCTATTCTATTTGAACTATTTTCAAGTATATTTGTGCCACTTTTAAAAATGTACGTACTGAATTGTATGTAGGTAGCTACAACCACAATTATATTTACTTTGTTAATTACTCAATTAGAGTGTATATTTTAAAGAGTATTATAATATGATAATTACTTCTACAGCATAAATAAATGAGATATCAGGGACCAATTATGCTTCTAAATTGGTTGCATCTTAACCTTCATTAAGACAGAAAACATTACTTCTAAAATAATGAATTACATCTTCATTATGCTTCAATCCGCCTGAAGAAAATAACAAATAACGAAGTATGATAATGGCATGCAAAAAATATTTTATAGTTGACTGAACTAAAAAATGGAAATGCTCGGCATTTTCTTAATTTCATAGTACAGGTTCAGTGATTTTTTATGTGATAACTCAAACAAATCTACTATTTTGATAAATGGCAAGAATGGGAGAGTGTCACTGATAATTTAAATAGTAGATTTGCGGAATTGGCAATAATAATTTAGAGAATGAGGGGAGCAACGTGTGCCGCCCCTGCTGAAAAGAAAGGTCACATAATGAATGAACTATATAAATACAAAAATTGGAATGGGGAATATTTGTGGGATATTTGAGAGAGTAAGACTTATCCAAATATTGCTAAGTGTAACAAAGTGTAGTATTCACGAACATCGTTCTTGTAGAATGTCCCCCGATCTGTATATGAGGTGTCCCTCTTCATCATCTTCCACCGAAGGGGCACGTGAGCTCTGCTAACCCCGAACCATCCGGAAACGGCACCGACAACAGCAGCCAGCGAGCGAGTGGTCAGCCCAGCGATGGTATGGATCAGGTCACGTCAGGTCGTCATAGATTCGGCATTGTGCGGGATCCCCAAAGACAATCAGTGGCGCCAATACAATGGGTAGATGTGGCCCAATAAGCAGACAGAGGAAAGGGCAAACGGATTGCCAAATCAACAATCATTCTCTTTAATGGTACATACAAATATATGCACCAGAACATATTAACAGATGAAGGTATATAATGGGGGATGGGGACTTTGGTATATAATCTAACAGGTATTGAAAAATATAATGAGGCCACCTCCACGTCCCGAATATACCTTCTTGCTGTTTCTGTGCTGTCTTAAACTACATTAAATACAACGATTATAAAGCAACAACTTTAGGAATGCGGTTATGTATCTTTTTTAAAGGATGCAACGTTTCTAAAGCAGTTGCCAAACTGTTTAGAGTAATTATTATAGCCTTCAGAAAAATGTCTCTGTTGACATCCCTAAAATGATGAGTTGTTTGTTAAATTACGCGAATTGTTCATTTTTATAAACAGAAAAAAAAGTTTAACCAGAATTCCTCAAAACTAAGGTTATTGTACGTAAAGATAGAGCACATAATAGCATTTTCTGGCGCATTGTTAACCTCAAGTATTGAAATCTTTGTTCACATTCTGAATTAGTTAACAACACTAGTATAATTTTAAAATGTCCTATAACCCACAAACAACAAACTATTCAAAATCTAAGAGGCACAAATTAGATATTTCTGTGAAATATTTTATGCAATTAATAATTTTTGATATAGCATACATAATTAATTTTGATTATAAAAATACTTAAAACATTTACATTTAGCTGTGTACCTCACAAAAAATAAAGTGGGTCTCAACTTGAGAGTTGCTTTTTTTACGAATTACTGATCTGATTTTTTAAATTATAGATCTATTCTTCGGTGACAAAGCCAAAATACTAATCGGTACAAGAAAGAAGAAGTTTAAATTTTCTAAAACTTGAATCACACTGCAGTCCCAGTTCTTTCAAATAAATTGTTTTTGAATCACATCACTATGTCTGTTATCAATTGAAATATATTCATCGATGTAAAGCTGTTAGAAGTATTCATTGATTTTCTTTGTTAGGTACTAATTTTGTTCTTTTTGTCACTGATTTGTGCATTGTTATTACTGTTACATGCAAGTTTTTATATTTGTACAATAAACTGGGGTATTTTAATAACAGATGACAGCACGAATAAAAAAATAATCCGTTCAGAAACGAAAACTATTCTCTTTTGCGCCCTGTGTACGGTGAAATTTCAATAAAAATTTCTAAATAATCATGCGAGGTGTATTTGTTACTTTAATGATCTATTTTTACATTATTTTAAATATGTGCCCTGTCTTTCTCGGTAACCTGTATAAACGACAGATATATGTATTTCATCCAAGTTTATTTTTACCAAGGATCAGTCACTAAATTTACGACCTTCAGATGTTTGTTTTCAATTTCGCTTGATCTCATTTTAAGGAATCCGCAGCACAGGCATAGAACATTGAGAAAAAAAATATATATTTACAAAAATAAAATTAATAAAAATAAAAACACCGGTATGTCGAGACTTACACAATTGTTAAGGTTGTGGCACACGTTCTTTGGTTAAAAAATTGCCGGAATTATAAGCGTCACTCTTTGTTAGTTACGGTACCGGGGTAAAAGATCACACAACACGGCTTGCTTTACTTACAGCCGCGACCAGATTAGGGTAGTATTTCTGAGCAATGGCCGCCGCCACGCTGGTGGTAGGAGCCGTAACGGCGGTACTCGCGCTTTTCGCACCACTCGAATCAGAAGTTTTGTTATAAGCCTCGTCTAACGCCGAGTATTTCATAATCAGACTTTGGATTTCTTTCCTTTTCGCCTCTCTTTCGAGGATGCTGTCCGGCGCTGAAGGGGTTGGGGTCACTTCCTCGTCGACAGCTGGGGGTGCTGCAGGACTGGGGCTTTTCTTCTTTGCCGGTGGCGCGTGTACAGAAGCCGGAGGCTCGTCGTGCATCTTTATTTCCACCGGACATAATTTCAGGTTGGTGGTCGGTTTCCTATCACTTATTTCACTTTTTCCAGTCCTATGTGGTTTTGAGGATCTTCGTGGCCTGAGTTCGGAATGATTTGATCTGTGTCGAACGCGATACGCCGAATCCCTGTCCAGGTAGGTGTACTGCGGTTCGGGATATTGCCGTTTACTTTGCAACGACTTTCCTTCACTTCGAAAAGGAGTTTTCTCTCTGTGTGCGACATTGTTACTGACATACGGATAGGCTTTTTCGGAGAGCAGTACGTTGGCGGTCGTAGAACTTTTAGCAAGAGTTCTTCCAACTGAGGGTTCTAGGGTTCTTTCTGGATCTTTTCTTCTATAAATCCTGTCCAAGACAGAGGAGTACTTATCTTCGAATTTTGTTCTGGTCGGAGCGCCGAGGTTAGGTACTACCGTGGAACTTTTGCTAGTCGTAAGAGGATTTGGGCGGTGCACACCTGATGAATACTGCAGCGAGTTCGTTCCCAATTGCCTTTCAACGGTCGCCGATGGACCTCGCACCTTAGTGGTGAGCTTTTGAAGCAGGCTAGTACACGAGTCACTCAAAAGTTGCGCGACACTTGTGGTGGACGAGCGCGAGTACCTCGTTCTCCGACCAGCAGGGGTATTTGTGTGGGTCGAGTTGGCCATGGAGTAGTCATTTGCGAGTCGTCTATTATTATTTACGTGCGCTTTTCCCGTTCCGGTGGTGGTGGACGAAGGTCGAGTGGCCCAGGGAGACGACGTGTGGTGGCTCCACGACGAATCCCCGGGACTGCGGATCGCGAACCGATCGGTATCGTCATAGGCTGGTCGGTAGCGACTATACGACAATCCAGAACCGTACATTGGTATGTGGCATGCCCTTTTTGCCGCTCACCACCGATCGCCACGGAAATTGCACAAGGAGTTGCAACGGTACTGACGTGCAGCAATGACTACCCGGGATACAACTGAAGATCACATACACGTTCGCCGCAGTCACCGTCGTCGTTTGATCGCCCCTGCCCTGCTAAAAACTGCCAAACTAAAAATATCTAACGAAACAAGCTCGCACGCCATACGCTTACCATCGGTCGCGCACTAAAGTTTAGTTATATAAATTTTATACTTTCCACCGAGGTGAGAAACTACTCGCGCAGTTAGTTATTTTGATACATTTGGACGGAATTTGAAAACAAAGTTAACGTCAACAAATGCGTGTCTTCCTACAGTTCCTACAGCCACAATGTGCGATCTAAGGCGTCTAAATTTCTAATTAAAAACAACCACTGAACTAACCCTAAGGAGAAACCTGAAGAGCCTCTTCACCACCTTCAAAAAGTGTCCACTATTCCGTTGGGTTTTCTTATTGTGCGGCTTCGTTTTCATTTCCAACTACTGATTCGGAATAAGAAGCAATAAAGTTTTATTTAGAATATGTATCAACAACTATGATAAGAGGTCGCGATAAGACACTTTTAGCACATGTGTAATGTGAACGTTCTAACGCACTTCAGACCACAAGCGTTACTATTATTCCCACATAAAAAAAGGACATCGTTTACAAACACCCGCAGATTATTGCACAACGAGCCGCGTCTCAGCGACAACAACCAACCAAATTCATATTTGAAGTTTATTAATCTAGGATGCACTAACATTGCTCCACTTTCATTGTTTTTCTTCTTTACGGGTGGTGAATTGTAGCGGGAGAGGCACGGCGAACGTTGGAGATTGCGGACACAAATCAAGGCATCCTCGTTCGCGTGTTTCTAATAATACTGGCAAATGTAACGTCTCCTCGACTTGTCACGCAATATTTCTGCAGAGGATGTGCCGTGTTCCACCTCGCAGTCTATTAATCTTTATTCGCTAAACTAATATTTTTCCGTGCACTTCGATCGACTCGCAGTATGAACGCGAAAAATCTGTGAATCTGGCCGGCGGCCGTTCAAAGCGGGGTTAGAAATAAAACGAACATGCACTTTTTAGTAAACACAATGCAGCAATGCAATGGAACAACCTCGTCGGTGGGTGAACACGAATCGTCGAACGATTCGTCGTCGGTTTCGTAGGGCCGGCCCGCATGAGGCGGCGACGTCTCCTTCGGAGGTCCCACGTCCACCACAGGCCACCAAGAGGAGTTTATCACAGCCATGGGTTTCGACGGCGGCCTCTGCGGCGGTAGCGACGGCAGGGCCTGAGCGAAAATCCGGGCCGCGGCCTTGCGCTCTGCCATGGTCCAGTCGGCCATTGCGTTTCCTCCAATTCGACTTTTTTTTTAACGTGGTGGCCACTGGTCGTGGCACAAGGTGCCGGCCATTATGTAGGCCTGTTCCTCTCTCTGTAGAGGCACTCGTTTAACTGTGTGCCGATTTTACACATCGGCAAGTTGAATTCGAAAATAGACATCGCGGTGACGGAAATAGATCAAGATTCAACCACCATCTAATAATTACGGATAAGTTAATACCGGCCAGACATGACTTTCTCCCACTTTATTGGCAACGGTTATCAATCGGCGAGCGAAAAAAAAAAAACAGTTTATTTTTCACATTTCGTTTTATCTAATTCCATTAGTTCAATTGGTTGATACAAAAATAATCAATCGGTTAGGTCAAGGTCAATAACGCTAACGTTAAATAGGCGGCGACTGTTCAAGAAATAGTTAAAATTAACATCTTTTTAAACATTGTTTTTCAATGCAAATGCAGATTACGCTTTGGGATGGCGTCGCGGAGGCAACAAACACAAACAAAAGAAACATATGGAATAACTAAATTTAGCATCAATTTTTAAATACGTCTCAACATATCTCCTTGAACAAATAAAGTTAAATGATTAATTTATCTGGGTCACAGTGGGGGGAGATCATGAAAAAATAACAAAGATATTAATCCCTTGCACATTTTTAATTATCGAATTAAAATACGAGCAGCGCTGGAAACAAATGAATTATATCAGGCACGCGGAAAGGAATTAAAAATAAACGATCCTAGGTGCGTGTCTATATACAAACTGCATACAGGGTGGACTATTTTCAATTTCCCACCACTTGCACCTCGGAAACCGTTTGCTGAATTAGAAAAAAATTGAATGAAAAACTAATGGTTACAATTACTTTATTTGTGATAACTTCTATAAATTTGAATCCACAGCGTTATGTGTAGAAACAAATAAATTATTTTCAGAAAAACAAAAAAAAATCATAGCTGTAATAAACTGTATTCAAAAATCCAATACAGCTTCCATAAGAAACAAGTTGAATAACTTTAACTGCAGGCATATAAATTTTAATATCAGATTTTTTTTCAACATATTTCAGGAACCGCGGCAAATACCTCAAATCTGTTTGTTTTGTCTTTAAAATGCACGAAGAAATGTCACTTTTTTCTAACTTAATCTACTTTATACCTCTTATGGTTTGCGAGGTGTCAATGGCGGGAAATGAAAGACGGTCTAGTATATGGTTGTATTATTTGAAATGTAAATAGAATGGCGATATACATTTAATTCTAAATTTTGATTATAAACGTTATACTAAACATACAGTTGGGATTCTTTACATTCACGTCATGACCATGCACAGGTAGGTAAGACAAAAGCTCAATAATAATCGATCAACGTAGCTAGGAGTAGTTAATAAAAAAAGACAAGCAATCACCTTCATGTGTTGTGCGGTTGATGCTAGTTCCGGCAGTGGTTATTGTGTATGATGAATGAAACAGAGACAGATATATCGTCGTTTATCGTGCAATTAAATTGCAGATATGTATTTGATTAGCGTCGTTTCCTGCAACTTCTACCACCGTCCTCTGTGCTGTCACCTGTCAACCACTTCAAAATCATTTTCCGACATATCATGCCCATATCAAAGGAACGATAATAATTGAGGTTATGTCCGTTCTGTCAAAGATTCTTTATTAATTTTCAAATAACTTTTCAATACGATTTTAAAGTGTTGTTATGATGCAAAAAATTACAAAACAAATTTTCATTATACAAATGAAATATTATTTCTTAAAGGGACAGTAATTCATGAACACATTTAGTCATTTGAATTCTTTTTTTAATCTTAGTTCATACAATTACGCTTAATGACGTGTACGTAAAGAATCGTCGGCCTGTACTTTCTATCTCTTACACTTTACGAGATGCTAATGGTGGGATTGGAAGACGGTCCACCGTGTATAATTTTGTACTGTTTGTAATGCAAACAGAACGGCGATATACGTTTAATTTTAAATTTTGATTAGAGACATTACAATAAATAAGCTCGGCGTAAAATAAATTAATATTAATCATATTAATATTTGTGTAAAGAATTATTAACGAAACGCTATGGGAAAGCGTGTTAAAAGACGTTATTAAACAAAACAAGGATGAATTATGTTTCAATTTACCTGGGAAATTCTAATTTGTTTAAAATATTTTTTAATTGTAACAATCCATTGTTAAGGTAATATTTTATGTATCCTTACGTACACTACAAACGACTGAAAATGAATTATTGCACAGAAACAGCAAATACGATACACATTCGCAACCGGTGATGGCCCAACAGTGGGAACATTGTAAGTATACAAAAATATATATATGAGAATATTTTCTTACCGTTCCTGGTCTTACCACCCAACCGGGAAAGGATGTGGGAAAGATAAAATACTGACCTGATCAGTGGAGTAAGATCTCCGGCTGTGCTTCCTCCTGGAGTCGGTCCTATCGTGGCGATGGCGGTGTTTCTTGGAGGTGGGCGATCTCCGATGGCTGCGTTTGTAACGGCGTTCCGCGCTCGAGCCTCGCTCGTATTGTCGGGACCTATGAGCTCTCTGACTACTGTAAAGAGATATCTGTTTTCTATTTGTCTCTATTTTAAAATACACACTCAGCCTGACATGGTCTCAGTTTGAAATTTTGTACAAAGCTTGGGTACATTCGTAAACACTAAATATTAATCATCCTGCAAATAAACTTTACGTTTGACAAACAAAAAACTTTAAAATTTAAAATGAAAATGTATTAAAATATTGTCCATATTTATAAAAATCAAGTCTTCAATAATGGAGTTACTTCAATTTTGCTTTTTCAGAATAATTTTGAAATTTATTTATCTGATCTTGCATTACTTATTCTGGATTACGTATCCTTAAAGATTTAAATTTAAATATGAAAAGCGTAATGATATTGCTGGTTCGTTTTTAATCTAGTAAGACTAGGAAGAGGAAGAAGAAACGTTTATATAAAAATTGTTTATTCAAAGTAAGCATTAAAATACACTTATAAAACTCAACTAAGGTAAAGCTTATTTTTTATCACTTTCCGAATTATTTGAAGAACTTAAACTAACATTATATTTCTTAACAATATCTTCATTAACGAGCCAACAGAACTTATTTTTTAACGGCCCATTATCCTTACACTTCCTCCAAGTAGCGAGGACTTTTAAACTTTTCAACAATGTAGCTTTACTAATGTCAACGGTGAAGCCGTTGTTGGCCATGTATGTCATAAACTGCTCTATTAGTACACGTTTGTTATTGGAGTTTCCATGTACTACTTTGAGAAACAATGGAATGTGTTCGGGGTTTAATTCCTTCAAAGGTTTATTTTTCTTCCCACTATTATAAAGAAATATTTCACTTCTCGTTTTAATTTGTATCTGACCGTTGGTGATCATTGCTAATGGTTGTAAGTATCTGTTAATGGCTTCTTCAACGTTGCTTCCATCTTTATTATACCAAATACAACCAATAGATCTCGGTTTCAACTTGTGCGTTTTCAATTGCATATCTTGGTCGAACTCGTCTTTCAGTAACTTTAATTTTTGTTTTAAAGATTCAGGTGACAGTCTCGCCGATTCTTCATCATCAATTTCATCTTCACTTAAATGTCCATGAGGCACAAAAAATTCGTTGTCAACTTCATAATCGTCTTTCTCATCTTCATTTTCCTTGTCGGCTTCATCTTCTGAACCATTAAGCGATTCACCTTGTTCTTCTTCTTCCCAATCGTCATCTGAATCTTCTTCGTAGTTAAAGATTTCCCCATCGGTACCAAATGGTTTTCTGGGCTTAACGTGTGAGCTCTTCTTCCTCCACGTTCCAAAATAAGCAGGTCGACGATTATCATGAAATTTAAGGAATTTCGCTCTAAACTTCCGTAATTTTGATTTATCCTCACAAATCGTTTCACCCAAATTTCCCTCGTCTTCAATAATAGCAATGTCATCATCTTCAGATTCTTCAAAGGGCCACGTTTT